CCCCCCCCCCATTATCGTGACGCTGTGTCGCCGTTTCGACCAAACTACGGAGGCTCTTCCTTCTCGGATCGTTCGAGTTGCCTCCTTCCGAGGAGAAAACAAGCCCGCCGTCCGAGAAATTTGCCCTGTGTTGCAAATTTAATTAAAACTTCATACAGATCTGGTCTGTTTTATCGCTTCTTCCGAGAATGAAGACACCCCCCCCCCCGTGTGTGTGTGTGTGTGTGTGCCTAAAGTTCTTCGAAAAAGTCGATCCTCGAAAGTTCCGAGGGTTGTCGTTCGTTTCGCGTAAAATGGAACAGTGTTCGTCGATCTTTCTTTCCGCGAACGGGGGAGGAGGAGGAGGAGGAGAGAAAAAAGGAAAGAAGGTGAGAAAAAAAATAAGAGACTTGGAGAAAAAGGCGAAGAAGGAGAAGAGAAGCTCGAGAAGCTTTACGAGTTAGAAAATGAATGATGAACTCGCAGTGTTCTACGTTCTCCTACGTCTCTACTACGTGTGTGTCCTTGTGCGCGCGTGTTGAACCACCAGCCAGGTTTGCTGGCGCCTGTAAGGCAGGCAGCCAGACGGGCGCCAGCGTCCGAAAGGGTTTCGCATAGCTGGAACAAGGACGGCGGTGGATCGTGTCGCCGCGAAAGGGGGCGACCGAGCGAAAGCAAGAAAAAGAGTGTAGTTTCCACGAGCTGGAAACAGCGACGCAGGCGCGAACGGTGAAAAACCAGCGTCCTCTCCCTCTCTCGGGAGTGAGAGAACCCTACTCTATCTCCTCTATGCGTGCCTCCAAAATCGAAACTTCCCCCCGTGTGTGTCGGTCCGGGATTGAAAGCTACTTAGATGCTAACAACGAATCCATTTCAATCTCCTGGCGAATGCACTCCCGGCTCCGTCGGGATAACTCGAGACAGAGAGAGAGAGAGAGAGGCTCGTCGAACTATCTCCGCTTCTCGTACGAAAATCCGCGGAAAACTTGTTAACTTACGTACATCGAAAGGATAAACGAAAGATCTTCCGGGCTGATTCAATGAAGGTGAGAACTAAGGTTCGTTAGGATGGATCGTAATCGTTTGACAATCACGCAAAGGCCAAAGTTCACGCGTCTCGAAGTATATAATTGGTGAGAGAGCCTCAAGAGAGCCTCTCATTGTTGCCTTTGTATTTATACCGGTCAATTACTGCGACGGTGCAGAGTTCTCCGGTGGCGTGATGGCGAACTTCGGGGATGATGAACTTTGGAATAAAACGATGAATAACGAGGTGGTAACGTTTACGGCGGAACGGGAAAGGGGTTAGTTTCGAGAAAGGAAGAATTAATGGCGCTTTTTACGTAAGAGCCTCTAGGGGTAATGGGTTTTAATATAGTTGGTAATTTAGTGCTCTGTTTTGCGGTCCACTGTTGAAGAAATCTTTCCAGTGTTGTTTCCATTATTTCTCCTCTGTAATCTGTCGTCTGTCGTTCGATACGTAATATTCGTCCGAAACGTAATATTCGATCGTGACTAGTATTAGAAGAGATAACGAAATGATAACCAAGTTTCAGGCAGCAGAACACGAAGTTCATCGCGTGTAATTTAATAGAGGAGAGATCACCGTGTGTCACTTAGACTAATTAAATTTTCATTCGCCCGCGTTAATGTTGGATTAATTTGTTACGAAATTGTGAAAATCAGTGTAATCTACTGGCAATGAGCGATCAATTTGGCTGCTACGATCAATCATGTATGACGCGTCGAGCGGATGGGCTTGCGAACGGTGATGGTAGCCGCACCGAAAAAGATTATATTCCGTCCGATGGAACACAACATAAAACGGGATATTAAATCACGAAACGTCGAACAGACGATAGAAGAAATTATTACACCTCGAGCGAAGTTTTCAAAGTGATTTTCTCACTATCGGAAACTTTGGAAATTGATGGGGGGAAACCTCGGGGCTGGAAAGTCAGGAAAAAATTCAGCATTCAACGTTGCACCGTCACACCGATTGTTTGAGGTACAAAGGTAAACGAGTGGCGAAA